CAAACAACCCACAAAGCCACTCAAGGTGAGTTCATACCCCCACATTTTCGAGATTTTCATGTTTTGGGAGGGGGGGGGGGTGGAATACAAGTCAAAAATGTGTTTATTACACAAATACTTGCATGTTCCATATTTATGCTAAAGTATAAGCCATTATTTGCATAAGATGTGATTATTACTAGCTTTGGTACAAATATGTGTGATATATTAGTTTTCAAATGCAAAACTAACAAAAACAAAACAAGATCTATGTTACAAAAATCATGAGAAAAATTATGATTTGTAAAACTACAAGGTTTTTGGAAGTTTTTACCCAAAATATAGCTTTTCTAACAAAAAGGAGTACATTCCAGTTATTCCGTCATTTTGGGGGTTACAACCCAAAAATATAAATATTTTGACCATACATTTTGACACTAGACAAGATAATAACTTTGTATTTATATAAAAGATTATATAAATAGTCTCGACAAACAAACAAGATAAACTATATTTGGCATAGTTTGGGAGTCTCAAAACTACACTATCATTACAGAAGAAACATACAATTATTTAAAGGTATAATTATTTCTTTTACAAGAAAAAGGAGTTTTCAGTTCACGTAAATCGATTGATACTGGTTGTGAGACATTTGGCTTCACCGTACCTACTAGAGTACACATACTAAGACTTGCATTATAACCAAAGTCTCTTGTAGGGAGAGCGTGACACTTGTGTATAGATCTATACGGGATTGACAACCCCGCACCTAAACTGTTAGCTACAGTTAGACCAGCAGGTCTGGGGTGACAAATCTCGTAACAGTTCCGACGTCCGAAGCACGTCGTTCAGGCAACTAGTCGCATTAGTATGGTTATAATAACTCACATAGAGTATCGACAACACATTTGATTTACGGGTCAACATACATTCAAGTAGTTTTATATAAAGATAAAACTTCATAACACTACTCCGCAGTACAACATTACTTACATTTTAGTCTTTGGATTAAGACTTACAATTCATTTTAAAGAAAATATTGGATTTTCTGGAAGTATACATTATCATTTTACATGAAACAGTTACAAAATCCTTCTCATACAAAACACTTATGAACTCACCAACTTAACTGTTGACACTTTTCAAAATCACTTGTATTCTCAGGAAATCAGTAAACAGGTAACCACAAGAGTTTTTGGTGGATGGAACGTCGTCGCATCACGTTATTTACTTTTGTCATATGCATTTGATCTCATGTAAACAATGTTTTTTAGTACAATGTAAACTTATTAAATATTCAATACAATGGTTGTAATGCTTTGATCTCTATTATTCAATTGTTACGATACTGTACATGAAGTCATCCGTTCCCAGACGTTTCCGCCGTTCTGGTTTGGGGGTGTGACATGATCGGTTTTGGAACAACTCGTTTGTATGATTTATTGTTTTAAAAATGAAATTTTTACTATGAATTTTGGGACGTTACACCAATGGTTTAATGACTGTCATGCCACCAATAATGGACAAACATCAAATCGGCAGACAAAGAAACACGGACCATATTCCGTCCAAAGTTGATCGTCCAATAAGAAAAGAGTGTTCTACATGCGGTCAAGCAAGACACACGATAAACAACTCTGGGAACGGATCATGTCGTATGAGAAATCCTACCAGGTAGGAGGCAATGAATAATACAGGGGCTTGTGGGAGCGAATCACATAACTTTTATGCTAGTTTTGATTTAAACCTCCCTTAAATTTAATGTCTATTGTAATGCTTTTATTTTATATTCAAGATGTTCTTGTAATGTTTTTATATTTAATATGAATCAAATCCAAAGTAGGCTTCATGTTAAAAAATGTTTAACGTGCAATTTTCACACCATTAAAAATTATCCGTTTTAGATCTATTTACCATGTTTTTCTTATAAAATACGTTGTTTGTAACTAGTTCTTCTCATAGACATATCGCTCTAGCAAAGCATATATCGAGAATATATATTTAATTAGCTCCGAAGTTGGTTTAATGTTAAAAAAACAGTGAAAAAAAATTCTTAAAGTGCCATTTTCCTACCATTAAAAATTATCCATTTTAGGTCAAAGTTTTGAAATATTGATATGAAGGGTCCCGATGGTTTCAAAATGCATCATGACTGATCATTTTGCTTAACACCGTTACATTTCCCGTTAAGTTCGATATAAAAATATGTTTTTTCCGCTGCCCTCCTCTGTGTCGCTTGCCGCCAAAAACTTCATAACCTCTTTGTCAGCTACAACCTTCTTTCTATCTTTATCTCTCATCGACTCTATCATTGTCTATCAACCACCACCTATAATTTTTTCAAACATCATTGATCGCCCTTGCTCATGTATAAAATATGTTGACTGATTTTGGTTGGTAGACATCTGCCATCGATGGTTCCCCGAAAAGCCTCCCGATATGTGTTTAATGGTGGTTGATGGTTTCTTCTTATCCATTGTTTTAACACACCCACGATCACAATCACCCAATTTCAACACATCACAACTTTAGTGAGCATATAGATCTAGATTAGTCTCTTTCTCTCTCTCTCTCTCTCTCTCTCCATCAACGAGCATATCCACCGGATCATCATTAAGTTTATAAAACAAATATAAGAGTAATGCTTTGGTTTTGATTTTGTTAGCAAATATGCAAATGGATTCGTCTTAATGGATGTTTTGGTTCCGATTTTGAAAAAAAGGTATTTGTCATCAAATTTGACTTTTGAGATCCAATATCTGTTTTGATAATCATATGTATGTTTTTAATTATGTTTTGATTTTAAAACAGATATGCAAATCATTCAAACATAATACTTTGATGAAAATAACTGAATATATTTAAGATAGTATGTATAAATTTTGATTCTGATTGAAAAACTGAATTGAAGAAAAATATTGTGTTTATGTAAATTTTGGTTCAAATAGTGGGTTTTAAGGGTGGGTGGGATGGGGGTTGGTGTACATTAAAATGTCAAATGTTAAAAACATAATGAAAAATAGTAAGAAACAAAAAAAATAGAGTAAAATGGACCAAAACTGTAATTTACTTATAAGTTTGATTAAGAATACATATCAGTGCTAAACGAACCGAACGAACACGAACGAAGCTTATTCATGTTCGTTCGTTTAAGTTAGTCGAACAAATAAACGAACACGAACGGATAAACGAACGAGTTTTCTTGTTCATGTTCGTTCGTTTAACAAATTAAATTGTTCATGTTCGTGAACATGCTTAACGAACATAAACAAACGAACATAAATGAACAAAGATAAAAAAAACATAATTGAAGATATATGAACATAAATGAACATATAGTAAACTAATGTAATCAAACACAATTAAACATATGTGAATATAAAATGAACTTATATGAACGAACATAAACGAACGTAAACGAACAACATAAACGACGTTCACGAACATAATTGAACGAACGAGACCATTGTTCATGTTCGTTTGTTTAACTAAACGAACGATAATTTCTGTTTAAGTTCGTTCGTTTATTAAATAAACAAACATAAACGAACTTCTCGCCGAACGGTTCATGAATAGTTCGCTGAACGTTCAGTTCGTTTACAACCCTACTAACCATAGTAGATTGTGAAACATGAAGGCCGCTTGCATTAATTTTTCAAAAGTTGGACTAATGTCGTAGATTGGTGCCAATTACATGGACCAAAACAATAATTTATTCAAAATAAAATTTAAATTGTAGGTTTCAAAATTGCTTTTCGATTTCCAAGACGTGACAAAGTTTCAGAACTCATTTTTGAATTCGCAATTGAAATATTTAGTTGCAGAAAACATTAAGTCTATAAAGACAAAGAGTCAGAGAGAGATTAAGTGAAATAAATAAATTGTTTTGCCACTTGGTGACGATTTAGGGGATAATGTGATTTGAAAAGGATTTTAGAACCACGAAACACTTCAAAATGTTTTGTAAAAGACACTTGGGTAATGGGCACCATAAATTGGTATTTTGAAACTTGCAATTTGACAAGCTGTAAGGTTAGTTGCCATTTTGAAGATTTTTCAAAAAAAAGTCAATTGGTTAAATATCAAATATCAGATTTTAATATCCCTTTTTATGTAGCAAGTTCTATGATATTCAGATAACACTACACGCTAATTATCGTTTTTTTATTCGATTATAATATACTACAAATAAACTGGTTCAATTTCGTTGACTTGTCATCCATAATGCTAGTGTTATAACTTTGGAAACAATATGAAATTAGTTTGTATAAATAAGATTTTATAAATTTACAGACTGAAAAAAATCCATTAATTTTTTTTTAATATCCTCCAAAATTTTAGATATCGAATTTTCCATATGTTCCAAACCTATTAGCCGTTAAAAAAAAATTAAAATATAACACCCAAAATATATTGGGTATCAAAATTTGGACACCTTTAAAACCTTATAAATGCTAGTTTTTATTATTAAGTAATTATTTCTAATAGACAAAATTGCAAAAATGGTCCTTGTGGTATACATTTTTTTGGGTTTCAGTCCAAACCTCGACTTTTTTGGATTCATGGTCCTTTTGGCCTAGTTTGTATGTAGAATTGGTCCCCCGACTTAACTTCCGTTAAGTTATTGCTGTTAACCCCCTGATGTGCCTCCCACATGAGGGTATATTTGTCTTTTCACTTATAATGGACCATTTTTGCACCTAAAAAATATATCCCCCATTTTTTAAAAAAAAATTTAATACCTGTTTATTTATTTTAATAATTAAAAAATAAAAAAGGTCCCTCTCTCTCGCTCTCCACCCAAAACACAGTGAAGAACATATACATACATACTCCATTTTTTTTCTTGATGATGGTCCCTATAATCAATTTGTGTATGGGTTTTGTTTCTGCAAATCGATTTATGGGTGTATATTCATCTACAATTTCGATTTGTGTCTATGTGTGTTTTCATTTTTGAAGGTGTGTCTGGATTTTGTTTCAACCACCATCTCCAACCCTGGTTTTCAGATTTGTAATAAATGTGGTTTTCAGATCAAGTAAGGAAAGAAACGAGTGAGGCAGATGAGTGGAGTCTCCGGCAGTGGCTGGCAATTGTGAGGAGGGGTGATGTCGATCTCCGACGAGCCCTCATTCATTCCCGATCCGACATCAAAACACACATGGAAGGGAGGCAGCTGCAGTCGCCGATCAAAGGGAGGTCACAGGTGCTCAATCGGACCGATGAAGGAAGAATAAGATCGGAAGCAACAAGGGCTGCTTAAGCATTGATCTGCGAATGAGAAGGAAGGAAGGAAGGAAGATCCGAGGGAAACAGGTAAGCTGCGGCAACAACTTCGGTAAGGAAAGGTGCAAAAGGGGGAAGATGTGATGAACAACCGAAGGAGGTGGCGAGGCTGCTCCCCGACGAGTCTCGTCGTGGTTTCTTTCTCGTCATCGATAACAACGATTCAGAAGGGAATCAGAGCAACTGCAGCAACAACGATTGAGGTGAGGTGTTTGGGGCTGTGCTTTTTCGACTGTAGGAGGGTTGCAGAGGTGTTGAACATCGATTGCAGTCGTCGAGAGGGTTGTAGCTCCTCTTGATCTCGCCGGAAACAACCATCCAAGGGCGTGTTTGTTTGTTTGATGCTCGACAGGGGATTTTTGGGTGATGCTTCTTCAACAATGGTGTTTGGGAAGAAGAAAAAGGAAGATAGAGTGAGGAAGACGAGAGAGAGAGAGAGAGAGAGAGAGAGAAAAAGAGAGAGAGAGATGGTCCCTTAGGTATTAATTTTTTTTTTAAAAAAAATAGGTATTAATTTTTTAATTATTAAAATAAATAAATAGGTATTAATTTTGTTTTTTTTAAAAGGGAGATATATTTTTTTAGGTGCAACAATGGTACCTTATAAGTGAAAAGACAAATATACCCTCATGTGGGAGGCACATGAGGAAGTTAACAACAATAACTTAACGGAAATTAAGTCGGGGGACCAATTCTACGGACAAACTAGGCCAAAAGGACCATGAATCCAAAAAAATCGAGGTTTGGACTGAAACCCCAAAAAAATGCATACCACAGGGACCATTTTTACAATTTTGTCTTTCTAATATCATGTTAAAAAAACTTGTATAGTTATGGAATTAAGTCGTATACTGTTAAATATATTCAATTAAAAAACAATACCTTTTATCTATGTCACATATATACCAAAGCTATGAAACATAATAATACTGCATGAATTAATGGCATTTATAAATGAAAATAAAAGCATCCACTCACTATGCCATTACTTTATGTCCTTTGGATTCTCTCTCTCGTTATTTTTCTTTTCTCAAAGGAAGATTCTTTCTCATCATAGTTTTCGTCAACTTAACTTCAACTATACAACTATACTAAAAAGCTATTCGGTTTATTCTATACGTTTTTCTATTCATTATTTAATTCATTCATTCATCTTTAAAATAGAAAAACAAATAGAAGGGGTTTTATGATTATTTAAAAAGAAAACGACCAGTCTTTTTTGTTTCCCAAGTTTTTTTTTTCACAAAATAGCAAAAAAAACTTGAGAAATTCCCAAAATAGCCATATTTTTTTTTGCAAGGGGACCACTTGCGGAAATTTAAATTTTCGTAGATACCTACGATTTTTTTTAAACTTCGCATCTTCATAACTTTTTCATACGAACTCTGTTTGAGCTGAATTCTTTTCCATTGTTTATTTATTATTATTATTTTTCGTAACAAAGGTTTTCTAGGAACATATTACGTTCCAAATTTGAATGTCGGAAAAACTATAATTTCTTAACATAAAATAAGATAGTCGGTGAAAAATATGAAAAATTAAACAAACTTCAATCCTTAATAAATTCCGCATACGAACTCTGTTTGAGTTTTTTTTTTTATTGTGTTATTTATAACAACGGCTTTTCATGAACATACTACACTCTCGATTTGAATGTCGGAAAATTATATTTATTTAGTTTCAAAGTAAATTATTCGGTGAAAAGTTCTGGGGAAAAAATCATACATTTAGATTTTTGTAGGTGTTTTGTGAAAATCTCAATAAAAAAAAAACATTTTAGCAAGACACCTAGATTTTGGTAGATGTTTATAGCTATTTTGATAATTTTTTATTTTTAGGACTATTTTATGAAAAACTTAAAAAAAAAACTATTATTGTCCTTTTCTCTTATTTAAATAACACATAATTATCTTTCTATAAATTACTAATGTATTTATTTGGCGTGCGTATTATATATTTATATTATATGCCGCGCGCGAAAACAAAACTTGTTGGAAAATTTGGCTACTTTCCCCCCCACCAGGTGACCCATCGCCATCACTTTCCTCAATCAGACCCACCCATTCCTCTCTCTTAATCCAGATTTGTTGCTATAATCAAGCCCTAGTTCAGCTAATTCTACAGCAAACAAACAATCTTCCAACTGTAATCCTCAGATCTGCACTGACATTCCAGTACACACAGGTGCGCCCACATTATCATTTACCTTTTTTATTTTGCTCAAGAAGTAGCACGACTGTTGTCTTCGATACTTGTTTATGCTCATAGTATAGTAGTCATAAATGTTCTGATTTTGACTTTTCATGTAGACGATTACTTGCAATTTCTACACTCGCTGTCACTTCCTGCTTAAGAAGTAGCACAATTTCTCTCATGGATTGTTGTTTTTGCTCATTGTAGTGGTAACTCTTCCAATTTTTTACTTTTTATTACACGACTTGTGTATTTCTGCCAGTTTATACCCCTATCGTCCCTTTAGATTCGCAGGCATCAAACCACAACAAATTGGCATAATACTTCCAATGAATCGTTGTTTATGTTCACTGTAGCGGATTCGCATTGTAATTAGTTGCTTTTTAGTTTTTATCTGCAATTGTTCTCACTGGTCGTTGTTTATGTTCTTTTCAGCGTTAAGTAAGGCAGCTGATTTTGGTGGTGGGAAGTTTATTAATTTAAGAGTGAAATGGAAGGGGAAGAGGGATCTTTAGACAAGGTCCCGACTTCTGTCACAAAGACACAGTCTTCAGCTGAAAGTGTGAAAGCATCAAGAAGTGTTACAAAACCAACTGTCTCATCTTCTTTGAAAGTCTCTGGTTCTATTACTGGAACTACCCGAAAGAAGATAGAACCCAAGGGTGCTTCAAACATGGTCAAATCAACTACAAGGAAACCAACCGTAGATCATGGCAATACTACTTCCAATTCCGCCCCTGCCATTCGAAGGAATAGCACTGGGAGTTTACCTGAAAAACAACAGCAACCTCCGGTTAAGAAACAGATCAGTAGTGGTGGTGGTTCAGCTGTTGGAAGGAAGATTAGTTCTTTGACCACAACCGAGCCATTGAGGAGGTCTCTTCCTGAAGCCCATAAGAGCTCACAACCTTCTTCTCCCATTGTTAGAGCTTCTAGAACCATGGGCAGTAAATCTGAAGCAAGCAAAGGACAATCTTCTCTTACATCTAATGTTAAATCATCTCCATCACTTTCTTCATCATCATCAAGAATTCCTTCAACATCCATCGACAGCACTGCAAGCAGCACAACCAGGAAGTCAATTTCAAAGCTCTCATCATCTGCAGCTTCCAGTGGATCAAAATCTGGGTCTCTATCATCTTCCCGTGAAAGAATGTCAACTTCATCAAGTCAAAGGAAAGCAGCAACTCCTGAAATCAGGATATCTCGTTTGATCATGCTTCCCCAAGTTGAGACTAAAGCTAATGATGATGTGGTAAGCACGTAAAGTTTACTAATCTTGTTGCCTGTTTTGTTTAAAAACTCCACTGTAATCCCCAGTGTACTGATCATTGTACTCTCTTTCATCTTTTCCCTTTTTCTTCTCACTATATCAGAGATTGGATCTTAGGGGTCACAGAATCCGTAGTCTGAAAGCTGGCATGAACATGTCTCCTAATTTAGAGGTAAGCTGATATGTACATTTATTTTTGATTTCCATTTATTGTATTCATCTTCTGTATAGTTAATCTCTATTTATATTCATATAAATTGTTTTGTGCATTTACTAGAGAAGCCTATGATTGATATTCTTTTGTGGCAGTTTGTTTATCTCAGGGACAATCTGTTATCTTCATTAGAAGGCATTGAAATACTGAAGCGGGTTAAGGTTAGTATGCATATTTTCTTTTCCTTCTCCCCCAAACAATTAGGACATTTGACATATGAAATTATCTTCATTATATAATGATTTCAAAATGACTGTTGTGGCCTATCTACAGGTTCTTGATTTGAGCTTTAATGATTTCAAAGGGCCAGGGTTTGAACCACTTGAAGCCTGTAAAGCCTTGCAGGTTAATGCCTCACATTGTATTATTCATATCTGATATGACCATTAATATTGAACTTATTTTAACTATATTTCTTTTTTCTTTCAATTCTTTTAGCAACTTTACCTTGCTGGGAATCAAATCACCTCACTGACATCACTTCCTGCACTTCCAAATTTGGAGGTCCATGCTCTTTTTATACTCTTCTCTGATAAGATAGCAACAAAATTATTGCTTTATCAACATTTCATGTAGCCTATAAGATTTTTTTTTTTCTTGTTCCAGTTCCTTTCAGTTGCACAAAACAAGTTAAAGTCTCTTTCAATGGCAAGCCAGCCGCGATTACAGGTTTCTTTCACCCTATAACTAGTTTTTTTTCAATGACTTTTTATGTCATTCTCTGACCTTTGGTTCTTTACAGGTGTTAGCTGCCAGCAAGAATAGAGTATCAACACTAAAGGGTTTTCCATGTCTGCCATCACTAGAGGCAAGTTCACTTATCTATCATTATTTTACTATTAAAGCTAAATCAATATGCTGTCACACAAACATGCTTAAAAGGTTTACTTGATATATATGATATTCCTATATGTTGCAGCATTTACGGTTGGAGGAGAATCCTGTACTTGAAATGCCACATGTAGAAGCAGCTTCTATTTTGCTTGTTGGCCCAACTCTGAAAAAGTTCAATGACAGAGGTATGTGTGTATGTTTGTATAATCAATCAAATACATGAATATATAAGAATATCAACTTTTTTATATTTTATACATGAAGTTTCCATCAACTGACTCCTAACATGAATCTTACATGATAATTTTGCTAGATCTTTCTCATAAAGAGATCACATTTGCGAAAAATTATCCTCCACAAACAGCAGTTTGCATTGCAAAAGGTTGGGAGTTTTGCCCGAGAGATCAAGCCCTAGGTGAGCTTTATGGGATTTCTTCTGTCATAATATTATTAGCTGACTGTAGTATTTGACCAGTGTCTATTAATTTAAAACAGAGTCAACTTTTCATTTTCTTGTCGAACAATGGAAAGACCATTTTCCACCTGGGTACATGCTCATGGAAGCCTCAGTTGATCAACCATTTGAAGAAGATGCTTGTTTCTGTCACTTTCTTTTTACCAAAGATAAAATAAATAATGATGAGTCAGAATTAGTTTTGCATTATCAATGGTTCATTGGATCCACACCTCTTTCAAACTTCACTCCAATTCCAAATGCTACAGCTGAGGTAATTACTCATTAGTGGTTCTTTTCTGAATTATTGCTTTTAATGACATCTCACTTTGTGCAACTGTTTTTTCTTTTTGCTTAGGTGTACTGGCCAAAACGTGATAACGTGGCCAAGATTTTGAAGGTGGAGTGTACTCCTGTATTAGGAGATACCAAATATCCCCCTATATTTGCTATATCTTCACCAGTCTCCCCAGGTACATAATGAAAAACCCTAAACCCTAAACAGTCTTTCCTGATTGTGTCATTTAGATATCAGTTTTAACTTTTTTTGTGTAGGAACCAGATGCCCAAAGGTTTTAAAGCTTGATGTGCGTGGAGAACTAGTGGAGGGAAACATAATCACAGGCCACCCAGAGGTTGCATGGTGTGGTGGGACCCCAGCAAAAGGCATTTCTAGGTAAGCCATTTTCATACAATGTAATTTGACTTATCAACAGAAGGCTTGATACTTGTTGCTTTCAGTTGGTTAAGGAGAAGATGGAATAGTAGTCCAGTGGTGATTTCTGGTGCTGAAAATGAGGAGTATTTGTTGACTCTAGATGACATTGGTTCATGTCTAGTTTATATGTACACTCCTGTAACAGAAGAAGGAACCAAAGGAGAGCCTCAATATGCAATCACAGATTATATAAAGCCTGGTATGTTCTTTATTGTTTATTATAGCATTCTACTTTCATTTCTGAAAATCTACCGAATTATAGCAATGCCACTCAAATACAATCTATAATAGGGTAAATGTTTCATAGTATAATATGCTAATAAGAAAAAAAAAATCAAAAGTACAATGCTATAATTGAAATTCAATGGTACTCAAGTGGCTAAACTGTTTTCTTACTTGCAGCTGCCCCATCAGTTAACAATGTGCAAATAATGGGAGACATTGTAGAAGGAAATGCCATAAGTGGGACAGGTGTCTACTTTGGAGGAAAAGAAGGACCAAGCAAGTTTGAATGGCTGCGTGAGAATAAAGATACAGGGTTTGTAATTCTACTCTTTTTTTAACTATATTCTTTTTTCTATTTCTTTTTTCTAATAAATTCTACAATTATGTTGTCTTAACAGAGACTTTGTCCTGGTGCTAACTGGAACAACAGAATATAATTTATCCAAGGAAGATGTTGGTTCCCGTTTGGCTTTTGTATATCATCCTGTGAACTTTGAAGGTCAGTCCACATATTTCTAGTTTTTATTTTATTTTATTTTATATAATATTGAACTTTCAGGCCAGGAAGGAAAATCCACTTCAGCACTATCTCCAATAGTCAAACGAGGTACTTATATACATCTAACACTACTCGTTGATTAAAATTTGACCCGATTTATTTACTTCATTTTTCTTCTGATTACAATTTCAGCTCCACCAAAAGTAACAAACTTGAAGATAATCGGTGATTTAAGGGAAGGAAGTAAGATTACAGTGACTGGTAATGTAACTGGAGCTACAGAAACTTCTAGTAGAGTACAATGGTTCAAAACATTTTCCTCAATTCTTGATGGTGAAAATGGTCTAGAAGCAGTAAGCACATCCAAATTGGCCAAGGTTAGTGGTCTTTTAACTCTTATGATCTTATGAATCATGGACACTTATATAAACACATGATTTTACTTGAGTAATTATAAGTATTTCCATTTCAGGCTTTTCGCATACCCTTAGGAGCTGTTGGATGCTACATTGTTGCCAAATTTACCCCTGTGAATACAGATGGTGAATCTGGTGAACCAGCTTACATTATATCGGATAAATCAGTTGAAAGTAAGCGAATTTTATATACTTTTTTGATAGTAACTTTTTGTGTAACATGTTTGTTAAATCTTTGCAGATCTTCCCCCGAATTTAAATTTCTTATCAATAACCGGCGACTACTCTGAAGGTGGAATACTAACAGCATCTTACGGGTACATAGGAGGTCATGAAGGAAAGAGTATTTATAATTGGTATCTTCATGAGGTAATAAAACTGTTTGTTTTTTCTATGATATACATAATATATCATCACTGTATCATTTTTATTATTATTAATATTTCATGTTTATATTTGCAGGTTGAGACGGAGCCTGGTGTGGTGATACCTGAGGCTTCTGGTTGCCTTCAGTATAATGTCACAAAAGATGCCATTGGTAAATTTATCTCCTTTACATGTACTCCATTACGTGATGATGGAATTATAGGGGAGTCAAGAACTTGCATGGGACAAGAGCGTGTTCAACCAGGTAATTAATTACATTTTTCACATTTCTTTTTTGTTCTTACTTATTGTCTAATATTAATTATTCTCATAATAGGAAGCCCTAGATTGCTGTCGTTACAAGTGGTTGGGACCCCAGTTGAAGGCACTACATTATCTGTTAACAAACAATACTGGGGTGGTGAAGAGGGAGAATCTGTTTTTCGCTGGTTTAGGGTATTTTTTGTGATAATTAATTCACAGTTTTTGTAGTTTTGAAATGTTATATAGTTTATTAAATGGTAGTCCTATGTGCAGACTAGCTCAGATGGTATGCAGAGTGAAGTTGCAGGTGCTGCCACGTCATCGTACTTGCTTTCACTTGATGATATTGGTTTTTCTATATCGGTTTCATGTGAACCTGTGAGAAAGGATTTGGCCCGTGGTCCTATTGTATTATCTGAACAAATTGGACCAATATCTTCTGGTATTTTGCTACATCTTTTGTAGTATCACACTACACTGCTTTAATTTTATTTAGTATAAAAAACTCTGAATGGTTTATCTTTTAGGGCCACCAACTTGCAAGTCACTTGAGTTTCGTGGGTCAATGGTTGAAGGAGGACAGTTGACCTTCATTGCATCTTATAGTGGAGGGTAATTCATCATTTATAAGCTCATTAAAAAATCCAATATATGACAAGTTATTAGTCACATCTACTTTGTTGTGTTGTTTTTAAAGTTTGTTTATTTGATTCTTTTCAGGGAGAAAGGAGCTTGCTTCTTTGAATGGTTTAGAGTGAAGGATAATGGTAGCAAGGAGAAACTACATTCTGAAGGTGAGTTTTTGCCTAATATATCTTACCACTTACATGCATAGACACAGTTAGCTTGCTAAACAAGTGTTGTACATACATTCTTAGCAGATCGTTTGGATTTGACTCTAGAGGAAGTAGGAACATTTGTGGAGCTTGTTTATACACCTGTGCGAGCAGATGGAGTTAAAGGAAACCCAAAAAGTATTATATCTAGTCCTATTGCTGCTGGCGATCCTACGGGTGTCAAACTTGTAATTCCTGATTGCTGTGAGGCCCAAGTTGTGGTTCCCTTAAAGACATATTTTGGTGGACAAGAAGGTGAAGGAAATTACATCTGGTACAGAACTCGGTCAAAGCTTGATGCATTGACTCTCATGGATATATCAGAAAATGCTGGTGATGACGTGGCGACATGCGGGAAAACACTGTAAGCCTACTTATTCCATATGATATCTGGGATTAACTTGTTTTAATATCAATAATAATCTTTTCACAGAACATACACTCCATCACTCGAAGATGTGGGAGCTTATTTGGCTTTGTATTGGGTCCCAACTCGCTCAGATGGAAAATCCGGGGAACCGTTGGTGTCCATTTGCAATAATCCAGTGGGTCCCGCTTTTCCGGAAGTTTCCAAAGTTGGTGTAAAGGCGTTGTCTTTAAGCAGTTATTCTGGTGAAGGAGAGTATTTTGGTGGTTATGAAGGAGAAAGCATCTTTAGTTGGTATAGAAAAACTATAGAGGGAACAATTGTTTTAATCGATGGTGCCCACTCAAAAACTTATCAAGTTTCAGATTCAGATTACACCTGTCGATTATTATTCGGGTAATTAGTTTCTTAATTTCTCTACCCCTTTTATTTAATTCACTATTAATATCTCTGCATATACATGTATAAAAAAAAACTTTGTTTTCTACATTTTAAAGGTATACGCCTGTTCGTAGCGATTCGGTTGTTGGTGAGCTGAAGTTGTCGGAGCCAACTGGCGTAATTCTCCCAGGTACTAATTTTGTATTTTTTTAGGGTTTATTTTATATACTTTTCATAAAATACAAATTTGATAAATATTATGCTACATTTCACAGAGATTCCAAGAATTGAGATGCTTGCGCTTACTGGTAAGGCTGTTGAAAGGGAAGTATTGACTGCCATTGAAGTTATCCCAAAGAGTGATGCTCAACAGAACGTATGGCAAAAGTACAAGAAGCATGTCAGATACCAATGGTATATAAACTATTTTTAATACTTGTTTATAAAACTTATTTTGTTTCGTATTCACAATATTTATTTTATCATACTGTGTTAAAAAATTAAAATATAAAAACACAGGTACATTTGTTCAGAAGAGAACAAATCCTTTGAGCCATTACAATCACAATGTTCTTGCTCATATAAGCTGCGATTTGATGACATTGGTAGTCGCTTCAAATGTGAGTGCATTGTAACAGATACATTTGGAAGATCGAGTGAACCAGCATATTCCGAAACTGCCCCTGTTTCCCCAGGTCTTATTTCTTTTCCATTCTCTCATTTCTGTTACTTTCTAATTTCTATCAATATATAAAAATGTTTCTTGGATTTTAATTTTTTTCAGGGATTCCTAAAATAGAGAAGCTGGAAATTGAAGGTAGAGGTTTCCATACAAACTTATATGCAGTTCGTGGTAATTATAGTGGAGGTAAAGAGGGTAAGAGTAAAATCCAGTGGCTTAGATCAATGGTTGGAAGCCCAGATCTTATTTCTATTCCAGGTATCTTTTTTCTTTTATAAAATTCTACCGCTTTATGAGAAACAAAATGAAATGTGGCTCTATAAATTGTTTTTTTTTTTTTTTTTTATTGTAGGTGAAACAGGAAGGATGTATGAAGCAAATGTAGATGATGTGGGATACAGGTTGGTTGCCATTTATACCCCTGTAAGAGAAGATGGAACTGAGGGATGTCCAGTTTCTGCTTCAACTGAACCAATAACTGTTGGTAAGCCAAATTAATTTTATGAATTTTTAATGGTGATCTTTTGTGTATTTTTCCTAAATTTATTTTTCACCATATCTACTTGTAGAACCTGATGTTCTTAAAGAAGTAAAGCAGAAGCTTGATCTTGGATCTGTCAAGTTTGAGGTATGAATATGTTAAATTTAAACCTCATCTGTTTATTGTCGATGGGGCAAATGCCCTTCTCAACAAGTCACCAGCTTTGTGTCTTTTTTTCAACAGGCATTATGTGACAAGGACAGATCTTCGAAGAAGGTAGTTGTTTTTCTTGTTGATTTATTGATGCATGTGAGGGTGGGATAGGGGCAAAATTGTCCACTTTGAACTTGGGACTATTCTAACTTGTGCTTTTTTTACTATTGAAGGTTTCTGGGGTGAGTAGTCTTGAGAGAAGAATTTTGGAAGTTAATAGGAAAAGAGTGAAGGTTGTGAAGCCTGGTTCCAAGACTTCTTTCCCAACAACTGAGATTCGGGGAAGCTATACCCCTCCATTCCATGTAAGAAATAGCAATGTAGTTTCATTGATTTGTTTACTACAGCATCCTACTTTCATTTCTTTCTAGTAGAGCATTTTACTTTGAAAAATATACCTAATTATAGCATCCTACTTCCCCTTTATAATTTTGAAAATTGAGTTGATTATTAATATGTGATAAACTTGTGTAGGTGGAGACTTTTGGGAATGACCAACATAGGCTGAAGATTGTTGTAGACAGTGAGAATGAAGTAGAATTAATGGTTCAGACACGACACTTAAGAGATGTGATTGTGTTGGTCATCAGAGGCTTTGCTCAACGATTCAACAGTACTTCTCTTAACTCCCTCCTCAAGATTGATGTGTGAGATCAAGTCACCAAATCTTTGTATATTTGAGCTTCTACCCCATGATTGTTTGCTTGGCGTTTGTTGTTAAATATCCCATTAAGACAAAAAAGAGAAGAGAAAACAGTATATATTATTGTGATGTTTGTTGTAGGGATGTACATGTAACTTATTGGTTTTTTGAATGTCTTCTTCCATACTCTTACTTGTGTGGCTTGTTTTTGATGAAACTAAATGGATGACTATTGAATGAATCTTTTGATTGGATCAAGAAAAGAGTTCTTAAGAGAGAAAGTGTTATTTTTCATTTAAATTCACCAAGTGTTGTTTTTTGAAATATTTTCCAAATTTCATTTAGAGCATCCACAATATCTTTACTTTGGAAAAGCTCTCATTGTGAAAGCTTTTTCAGTACATTGGCGGGTCCTATATATATTCAACTAATTACAACCTAACCTGTTATATCAAAAGCATTAGAATAATATAAATCTATTTGATGAGTCATGAAAAAGTATATTAAAAAGTTCTCCTATTGTGGTTCTTAGTTGAGCTTTTTTTATTGATAATGTGGCTATTCCATGACACCAAAATGTTTTGTGAAAGAACTCTTTTATTGTGAATGCTCTTGTTAAAACAACATTTTATCGTAAACATCACTACAACATGAAGCAAATTCTATTAAAATATAATCTAATGCATGTCAAAAATAGTACAAGGCTAGAGATGACAAAAATACCATAACCCATAACTTTTGGGATGATCTTTGGGCCGGGTAAATGGTTATGTGACTCGGTGTGAGACTTTTTCTGAATTTTTTTGCATGTTTGTGATGGTTATGGTATTAGGGATATATCTGCCGGAAAACTATTTGTATTTTATATTTATATTTTTATTATCAATATATATGATTTCAAAATATATTATAATATTATATGTGATATTATAAATATAAAGTTTTTTATATAAAGACTAATAATACAAAAACCCTAAATTTTTAACGCGTAATTGGAAAAAGTCTTAATATTTTTTTTATTGCTACGGCCATAACTTTCTCGCAGAATTATCACTCTAGCACACTTAATAAGTTTCATAGTTAACTTGGTTAACTTTTTTGCAAAACCAATACTAAAAAGTTCAAATTTAGTCCCTGATGTTTGCAAAAAATTACACCACATGGTTTTTTAACTTTATTTTTTGTTTTTTGTATACTTTATTTATTCAGTTTTATACATTTTTTATTTTCTTTTTTATATATACTTTATTTATTTTCATTTTTAACTTTATTTTTCAACAATTTGATTTTTTTTTAATTTTATTTATTTTTTAGTGTATATATAGAGTATATTAGAGTTTTTTTTTAGTTTTTTTTCATATTTCTTTTCGTCTTATATTTTTTTTTCATCTTTTTTTTTCTTATTTGTTTTCCAATTTTTGTTTTTATTTTTTGTATTTTGAACTTTTTATTGACCTTTTTCAAAAAAATATAAAATGTATTAATATATTAACGTATATTACTATTTTGATAATTTATCATTTTTGTAATTTTTTTCTTTTTATTCAAGTAAATAAAATAGTTATATTTATATTTGTAATTTCGGTCCAATTTATTTTCTTTTTATTCTTTTTTTTCTTTACTGTTACTATATTTATGTTACGAAAAAATGAAAATTAAAAAAAGTTAGCTTGTTTATTGAGAATAAGTGTTTCGATGTGTTATATAACTTGCAAATTAAATCATATTTCTATATGTGATATCAATAGTTTAAAATTCAAGATAATATTTTTTAATTTGATAATAGACTAAAAGAAAGAAAAAATAATAATAATAGGCGGTCTCTATAAAAAAAACTTGTTATAGTAATTTATATTAGAAAAACCATAAATAACTAAAATAGAAAAAGAAAATAGAAAACAAAAGGTAAAAAGATAAAAAAAAATCAAATGTTGAAAAATAAAGTTAAAAAATGAAAATAAATAAAGTATACAAAAAACAAAAAATAAAGTTAAAAAACCATGTGGTGTAATTTTTTGCAAACCTCAGGGACCAAATTTGAACTTTTTAGGACTGATTTTGCAAAAAAAAAATTAACTAATTTAACTATGAAACTCGTTAAGTGGGCTAGAGTGATAATTCTGCGAGAAAATTGTGGCCATAGCAATAATAAAAAAAATATTAGGGTTTTTTCCAATTACGCGTTAAAAATTTAGGGTTTTTATAATATTAGTCCTTTATATAATTATTACTTCAAATGGAAATGATGATAGTGATTAGTTTATCATGAAATTCGAATATTATAAGTATGTATGGTTAACATTTGTTAGATATTATACTTGATGTTATTAGAAATTGGAATTATGAAAAAGTTCAAGTCGTCATTTTAATGAGATTGTGATCGAGTTTTCAATAATGAAAATTACAACATCTAAGTTTAATATTAAGATCATAAATGGGATACCTGCTACCCGTGGGTATATACTAACCGGGTAGCCGACGGGGTGGGACCGGGTTTGGGATACAATTTTGTAATAGTATTATGATGACTTTTTTTTTTTTATTATTTGTGTGACAAAAATGCATAATAGCTGCTTAAGGCAGCATGTGCCTCTAATGATCCTATTTGATCTTGTCATGATTCTTATTATTACAAAATGGCCAAAAATGAAATGGTAAAGTAAAGCTTGATTGGAACCACAAGTTATAAGTTTAAAACAAAGGATGTTTATGTTGATTCCAATACAAAACCTTTTTGAATTGTAATTAACCTGCAAACATGAAGTAATCATCATTCATCCACTTCATTATCCTATAAAGATGGGAAGTTTTTCAGCTATTGCTTCTTGTCTTCTGCTTTCCTTGGCTGACAAAAGAAAAAGAGAACATATCGATCAACTTTAACAGAATGCATATAGCTCTCGTATAAAACTGCATAGAATAGCAACATACTTTCATTTCATATATATACGATTCATGTACATATTGCTATTCTTGGTAACGAACTGTAAGTATGTTGCTATTTTGAGTAAAAGAATATGAATTATGTTGCTATTATGGGTAAAAAATAAAGTACATTGCCTATACCAGTCATGAGAATAAGGTGTGTTCCTATTCCCTAGAATTTGCCCTTCTTATAATATACTAACAATAAGCAGATAAACAATCAAATGTAAAAAAGAAGGAGATCTGATTAGATGATATATGAAGTTTAGGAGAAGGGATAAACCTAGATTACCTCAAAGAAAAGTAAAGAACTTCCTAGCTTATTGGATTAAGTCATGTCCCAATTGTTTAGTTCATTAGATCAATGTATCCAATAGTATCCATATGTTTCAATTCTTATTGTCACTGAGGTCAATTTAGCTGTGTTAGAAAAAAGTTGATTCAACACAATTTCAAGCCAAGTGATGGTATCCTCAAACAACAATTACTTAATTCGAAGAGCAATAATCAACAAAACCAGAAATGAATATTGAATACCTTAGTACCAGGGAACGATTGACGGAGCTCTTCCTCTGGAATAATAACAGGCCACTTCTCGCCGGCTTCACGAAACATTTGCTCAGTCTCCAGCTGCGTGCCTTTTTCCAGAATCATCTTCCTGATAGTCTGCGCAGGTGTGGAAGTGGCATCAAAAACCTCCTCGACTCCGTTCACGAACGTCACGGAGATCTGCGGTGGGTGGCTGTCAGTGCGGCGCTTCACCAATAGTTGACACGAAGGGTTTGATTCCTTCGCTGTTCGAGCATTGCACTGAGCCAAAAACTCCATACATGCCGCCGTGCGTGGGTCTAGGGCATTGAATTCGATCTTCACTTTTGATAAGAACTTCAACATGATTGATTCTCTCCCAGGGTTTGTCTCAATGGACTGCACACTCTCTCTCTGTTCGATAAAATGACCACCAAAATTGGAATTGGTATATTGGTTTTAATCAAAGTAGGAAAACAAGCCCTAGACTATCAATCAATTTGCATAACTCATCCTTTCACTTTGAAAATAAACAGTTTCAGTCCTCCAGTCTGTTAAAGTTCATTATGAATACTAACCGGGACTTGTATGCTAACTATAAACACGCTTTATATTTCATTGAGTAAATTACACGAATGGTCCCTATGGTTTAGGGTAATTTGCGTGTTTGGTCTCTAACTTATTTTTTTAACTCGGAAGGTCCCTACTGTTTGTTTTTGTTACGTGATTGGTCCCTGTTTAACATAAAAATAGGAGTGAGCAAACCCAAACCAAGAAACCGAGAAACCGACTAAAACCGACTAAACCGAAAGCGAAAAAATCGAAACCGAAGCAAAACCGACGGTTAGGGTTTGAATTTTTTAAAAACCGAAAAGTCAGGTTCGGTTTCAGTTTTTACCCAGAAACTGACCCATCCAACCCGAGAAACCGACCCATACTTAAAACCGACAAACCGCCCCAAGAAACCGACTCATCCAACCCGAGAAACCAACTCATACTTGATTGTTTTTTGGTTATAATAGATTATTTAGGGATTTTGTTGTAACTTGTAATAGACTATTTGGTTGTAAGACTCATGTTTTTTGAAGTATTTAACTTCAATTTGGTGTTTTTAAAGTATCTAACTTCTTGCTTCATTTTTGGAAAATGGGTTAAAACCCAAAACCCATGGGTTTAAACCCATAACCCGTGAGTGTATGGGTTGAACTCAAGAAACCGAAAAACCAACCAAACCGACCACAGAACCCAAGAAACCGAACCGACCAGAAACCGATCTTATTGGGTTCTGAAAACCAGAAACCGAACATTTATGGGTTGGGTTGGGTTTGGGTCCAAAACCGACCCATGCACAGCCCTACATAAAAATACTATTTTGCCATTGATTTTTTAATTTATTTAAATAAACATACTCTCAACCCCACTCTCCTCATCTTACCTTACCTACCCCACCATTTTTCTCTATTTAAATAATAATCTTTTTAAGTAAGACAGAGACCAAGCACGTAACAAAAAATAAACAGTAGCGACCAAGCGAGTAACAAAAACAAATAGTAGGGACCTTCCGAGTTAAAAAAACAAGTTAGGATCCAAACATACAAATTACCCCAAACCATAAGGACCATTCGTGTAATTTACTCTTTAATTTTCATAAAACATTATGCTTAAGCATGTTAACGGGCTTAATTATAACTTGAATACATCCAAGACATCCTCTCTAATAAAAGAAGGTTTCTTTTTCCACTTGTCACACTCTCATTCAATTTGTCAAATGTCATTTTGTGGTTATTTTGAATTAATTTTTTTTCACATGTCATTTTATGAGTTTTTCTATTTTATTAAATTCCACATAATACTTTAATATAATAATTGCAATAAATGTATATTAATTGCACTAATAAACTTAGCTTTTAATTTCAAAATTCACAGAATTAAAGCTCATTAGTTTGTTTTTTATTTAAATTATTTGTTTAAATGTAAAAGAAAAACATATTTCCATTATAAGAAATCATTATTTTTCTTATTTTATTATAAAATTAAAATTCTCAAATATTTTGACCTTTATATTTAATTTTTTTTAATTAACATTACATGGGTCTCACAACTAGTTAAAGTATGATATCACATCATACAATAGTCACACTATAATGACTTAACATCATTTTAGCAACATAATCATATTTACATCCATATACATCTTATTGTAACAATTCTTTCTTAATATTCCAGCTATGGTGTTATAAAAGAACACGTAAACCACTATATATATATATATATATATATATATATATATATATATATATATATATATATATATAGGCTTAGGTTATTTTGTTTTTACTAACTATTGTGTGCCAGAATGCACAGATCTGGACCACCGGATGAACAGAATCAACAGTCATGATTTGAGGGTCTATAATATTACAATAGGGTATCATGTATCATATAATCACACAAATTTTAGCAAAATGGTATTTCGGTCAATTAACCTATTTTAAAAAAGGAAATTTTCGGATTTTAAGGGATCATTAATTCCCTTATTTTTAAAAATCTGAATTTTTTAAATTAATTCTAATTAAATTTTAATATTATTTTTAATAATAACCGATTTTATTCTGTCAGAATGACAAAAAGTCAACAATAAACTAGTAAATATATTTGCGGTTTTATTCTTGCAGAATATGGTTTCATTCAAGATATTTTTTATATTAAACATGCTTAAAGAATTATACAACATATTATCAAGAATAATATTTTCTAAGAAATACAAATTTTATTCTTTAAGAATCACTATTTACATTCATCCGTAAAGAATAAGGCTATAAACAATTATTACATTCATTCTAAAAAAATTATGACAAATAATGGTTTAAGGATTACATTTATTCTTAAAGATTGAAACTAAAAATGGTTAAAAAAGAAAAAAAAACATCAAAATCTAACAAAAACACTAATCCATTCCGAATGAATATTATTGTTAAGAAACAATTTATAAATTCTGACAGAATATATTCTGCTAGAATGCACTATTGTTCTCCATGTTTTCTTCATTTTCCACATCAATGGCAACCTCTTCAAAAATGTAAATTTTCAACCCATTCTTCCAGCCATTCCTATCACAAATAAAACAAAAACTAAGAATGGTTAAAAGCATGTTAATTGCAATTCCTATCACTTTATATATTCTGGAATAATACATAGAATATGATAGAATACATAGAATACATTCTGGCAGAATATATAGAATACATACCACTATTTTCTTATTCCAGTAAAATAGTAACCAACACACATATGCAAAATCCATTGCAATTTGCAAGCAAAATCTATTTTGCCAAAAATCAATCAAACAATATTGAATCGTATAGAAACTATTCTAAGTTATCACATGACCTAGAAAATCAAATCAAAATATGGTTTAAATTCACAAATTATAGGCTATCGATAGAATTTAAAATTCATAAATTTAACATGGTGACTAAAAACATCTTCGTTTCTGAAATTGGCATATGCTATGAATTAAATTCCATGGGAATTTGACTTATTAAGGTAATTAAGTATTTCTTATGTTCACATATGTGTAATATTGTTTTTTTTGTACTTATTTACTCAACTAACTTTTTTCATCCGTTCAAAAATAACCAATATTACCGGCTATTACCTGTTTTAGCCTGTAACATTGATTTAGCTCGGTTAAAAACATTACGTGGAATCTTACGTGGCCATTACACCCCTTTCTCATTTAATTAGGGTTCGTCATCGTCAGCTTGTCTAAAACACACCTTGATTACCTTCTACAGGTATGTATGTATCTGTAGATTTTCATTACTTCGACTGCTAGCATGGCATCGTCATCTACAGGTATGTATGTATCTGTAGATTTTCATTACAATGGATTCTTTTCGCCAAACCCATTGGTGTACTTAGACCCCGTAAAAAGAAATGTACATGATGTGGATTTTGGGGGATTTACGTATAAAGAGTTTCTTTTGTGGCTTACGAAATTAACCAATAGAGCCTGTAATAATGTCTACTACTGTATGAGAAAGGAAAGCTTGTGTGAGGGTATTAGAAGAATCGACAGTGATGCTGATTATTGGGAGTTTGTGGAAATTGTTTATAGTCTGGAGAGTGATAGTCTTGAGAGTGAGTTAGATGTGTACATTGACCACCGAAATGAACCAATTCTTGATTAGGCTGATAACGAGGTCTTAGCAGATGGTAAAGGGTATGAGTCGGATGAGTTTGATGTAAAGGATGACAAGGATTCTGAAGTTTCAGAGACAATGGAATATGAACATGAATGGGATGATGAAGAGGAACATACTTTTGATAAAACTGTTGGAGACCCATTCTTGGACAAACTTTCAGGGCATATTAGTGATGATGATGAAGAGGAAGCAAACAATGGAAAAGATAAGGATGTTGTGTTCCATGTCCATAATAAGAATCAAGAATGGGAGCAAATGGTGCCAGTTTTGGGTATGAAGTTTTCTAACCCATTGGAATTGAAGTTGTGTATCACCAACTATGCAGTAAAAAATGGATATGATTTATGGTATGAGAAAAGTGATCATGAAAGGTTATTGGTAAAATGTTGTAAAGGTAAGACAAATAAACAGGGTAAAGGTTGTCCCTTTAGGTTGTGGGCAACCTGGATGACCAGTGAAAAATCATTCCAGATTAAATCTCTGAATGATATGCATAATTGTGCAAGAGTCTTCAAATTTGGGTCCATTGTTACCTATAAATGGATAGCAAATCATTTCATGAATCATATACTTCAGAAACCAAAGATGAGTATAAGGAAGTTGAAAGCTAAAGTCAGCAAGAAATTTAATTTGATTGCAAGTGTTGGACAATGCAGAAATGCAAGGAAGTATACATTTCAGGAGATAGAGGGTTCTTTGAAAGAACATTATGCAAAAACATGGAGCTATGGAGAAGAGATAAAAAGGACTAACCCTGGATCAACAGTGAAGATGAATGTAGATGTCATGCCTGATGGAACCACTTATTTCTCAAAGTTTTATGTATGTTTCAAGGGACTGAAGGATGGATGGATTGAAGGTTGTAGGAGGGTAATTGGACTATATGGTTGCTTCCTAAAGGGCATATGCAGAGGTCAGTTGCTTTCTGCTATAGGTAGAGATGCAAATAACTATATATATCCTATTGCTTGGGCTGTTGTATCAGTGGAAAGTAAAGAAATATGGAAGTGGTTTATTGACCTTCTAATTGAGGACCTTGGAATGGGAGTTAGGCATGGACTAACCTTGATATCAGACCAACACAAAGTAATCAATTTCTATTTTTTCCATCTTATTTTTGCTTATGTTTTGTTTATATTGTTTAAGTTTTGTGTCTATTGCTAACATGGATTACTTGAGGCTGTGAAGGAAAGGGTTCCAGCAGCAGAGCATAGGCAATGTGCTAGGCACATATGTGCTA